AAAAATATCCACCCCTGTGTGTGATCAAAATGTCAGAAATATTTCAGCATTCCCGTCGTCTGGGTTTACCCACACTGCCTGAACGTTAAAGAGTCCTTGCAGAATACAAACACGGGCGGGAAATAACCTTCCGGTCTGTTTCTGTGCTGTGGCATTTCAGGTGATTTTCATTCATTATGTTATGAAACAAATACGGCTGTTTACATTTAGACATCTCAGGACCTGACGACCTCTGAACACACCCTCATCAGTCCATCTCTCTGTATGTGCTCTTAAATAGCAAACTAACACATAACCATAGATTTCTCCTTTACACTGACAATTTCCCTAACAAATGAACGAGGTAAGGTCAAACCTTTTTGACTAAGAAAATCAAATTCATCATTGTGTTTACCACCAGAATACAACATATGCCGAAATCCTTCTAAAAGTGAGTCTTGCCACTCTGTAGCCATTTCGGTAAGGCCTCTGGGCCGTTATTTTGAAGCTGTGCGTGTACAAACAAAGACTGAGCAATAGTGCTTAAAAACGCTCTCATAAATGCTCTGCTCACATTGACTCTTGCTTAAGATAAGGCTGAAAAACCTTCCCTCTGCCCCAAGCTTAAACTTCTCTTCCAAACATGTAGAAGAAGTGTAAGCTCCTTTTCATTCTCTGTAAACGTAGAAATGGTTGCGAAAATCTCTGCAGATACTGAAATACTCAGACCGGCCCATCTGGCACCCTCAACCACGGCACATGTAAAGTCACTTAAATTCCTCCTCATAATGATGCACAGCTTGAATTTAAGCAGGTTATCTTGACTGGGTCTAAATACCTAAATGGCACCCAGCTGCTTCCACGTGATTGGCTGATTAGATATTTGCATTAACAAGCATCTGAACAGGCCTGCCTAACAAAGAGTCCAGTGAGTGTGATCTTCTCTACATGAAGGTTTGTGCCAAATTTGATGAAATTCCTTCAGTGGATGATGATGACTCAAAACATCACAACCGTATTTAATTCGTTTTAAAATAAGAATCGCATCAGAATCAACTAAACAACACATCTACTTCTATACTCTAAACTACTATTTAGATCACTGTTGCTCAGACAGGGTAGAAAGTTACTGCCTCAGCTACGCTGTCTACTCTGTGCAGCAACATGTGACAACCCCCAGGCAACGCCTGGGATGGCAGATGGATGCCTCAGTCCTAGCACACTTACCATGACGCTCAGCCTGATGCCGATTCCTGTAGTGACATCAACAAAAGTGGCAACAGGACGGAATCACAACAATCAGACACACGTACGCTGCATCAGCACAACACACAGTTTGGAACAATGTAAATATTATCTTATTCTTTGAGGTTAAATTTGACTTTCCACACTTAATGTACAAATTATTTGAGGTTATTCGTAGTGCGCAGACTTACAGTACTTTTAAAAAAAAAAAAAAATCACTCAAATGTGAATATTTTCAGGTTTAGCTGGTGTCCTATCATTTTAAACTAAATCCTACCCAATATGAGAAACGGATAAATCAACACTAGAAAAAGTGACTCATCTGCAGATGGTTCATCTCTAAGTGTTGTTGTTTCTTTAATACATCTCTTCATACATCCCTCATTATGATTTACTCTGTTAAACTCTCTTTATGCAACACTGACTACCTAAATTATTTCTGTCCAAACCTAAATTAGGAAATTGTAGCCATTTGTGACTGTAGCTGTCATGGTTTCACATCCCCCCGCCTTTTATCACATGGCACGTGGAGGAGTAAGAGTTCTTCAGGCTATTTGTCAATTATGTATTTTCAGGATGCTGGGAAGTTTAGTGTTGAGTCCAGAGTGGCAGGGGTGAGCCCCTTCAGGTTGTTATGACAGCAGTCCTGTGTTTCTGGGGCAAAAAGAAAGCTCCATTTCCTGTTTAAGTTTCCCCCCCTTCCAGAAATGGCAACAGTTAAAAATAAGCTGTTTTGTTTTCCTCTGCTTTTCCTCCTGCTCTCTGCCCTGTTTCAGCTGGAACACACATGAAGTGTACATACCCTGCAGGTTGGACAGCGCGTATTCCAGCCCCTTCATGGCCTTCACCTGGTTGCTCTTGAAGCGAGCCAAACCAAACTCCTGTGAGAAGACAGAACAGGAAATGGCTTTACACAGGGGAGATTGTCTGGGAAACAACACCGTCTTGTCACTGCAAGTCTCTGGGGATATCCAAACAAGCCTGGCATCTTCCATATTTAATGATTCCAATTTAGTAGACTTATTTTTTGTTTTGTTTTTTTGCTGTTATTTCACTTCTCCCACTACTTTATCTTAGCATGAGCGCTAAAGTAAAGACCTGAAAATTCAGGACATCGGCCTCTAGAGTGAAAATAATTGCATCTATTCTATCTGAACCGCCGTAGAGTAGATGAAAGCAGATGAATAAATGCTTCTAAGAGTACTCATATCATTCCTGTGCTGACCGACATCTAACTTACCTAAAGGGCAGATGCGCTCTTACTGAAAGAAAAGAATTAATTTACTGTCTTGTGTATATCACACATAGGAAAGCCAGAATACAGACTGTATATAAAAGTTGGGAGAAGCAACCATGACATCGCTCTGTGGTTTGTGGATTGTTTTTTTGAATTTGCAGATTTAGCACGTTAGACATTTATAGATGGTTTGAGCAAACAGTTGATCTTACTAAGAAACTAAGAAAACGGCACAATAAATCTTTATACTGTTTATTTTACTAAACACGGGATCCTAACTTTTTTTTAAAAGGAACATCATGATTTGAATTTAGCAACCAAGTCCAAAAATGTAGGAGGAAAGTGCTTACTTTGAGCTCCTAAATCAAATAAGAAGTCTGATTGTTTCCTCATAGAGGTCTGCTTGCAGCTACATGAGTTGCCCCCTGCTGGCAATGAGAGTGAATGCAGGTCTCAGGCACATTTATATACAGTGGTTTTGGCTGGGGTCTGTACCTGAATGGGTTTGGAGAAGCCATAAATGCTCGACGAGATCCACGCCTCACGTTTCAGCTGTGTGGTTGCTGGATGCTCCACTGAGCCTTGGAAAACACAACGCTCCTCAACAGACTTGATTGGGAAAGAAAAGTGACAGCAGGTTATAATAAACTAAGATGCAACTCAACAGATTTACTATGGAAGTCATCATTTCAGGAGTTTAAGTAACTCGTGGTCTTGGCAACAAGATTTCTGGGGACGTAACTTCACTAAAGACGATGTTTCTTTCTGCAAAAGCCTTTGAAGGATTTGAAGAACTGTTTTTGTCTCAACACCTGCACAGAACTACCATGTCTCAAAATGTTTTCCATATTTTCCCATGAAGCCATCATGTTTCAGACTGCAGCAAATTAAAAACACAAGTATCATCAAGTATCGTGCTGTTGTGCAGTACTGTAGTGCAGTTTTCATTAAAGTTTTAAGAAAAGATCATAAAAATATAACATTTAGTTGTGCATATAAATGTGTGTGCGAAATAAGGACCTCTGTCCTTGTGTGAACTGATTTCTTTATTCCTGTTATTGTGTGTGCCAGACTCTGGCAACCCACAGTACTCTACAACACCTGTAACCACAACAGTGATGTGATGTCAGACCACATTACTTTCCTTATATCATGGCAGCAAGATGACAGCTTTGACAGAAGTCCTACACAGTTTCACATGTAAAAAAACAAAACACAAACAACACATATCTACTTTCACAGCAACTTCAGCAGAAAAACAAGCAGAGTCAAGTGAAAAATTTAATTTCTCTCCACCACACAAGGTCACAAAGGCAATGATGATTAAAACCCATCAGGAAAAAGGCATAACACAGGAAACTGGCTGCGTGTTGATTAGAATCTCTCTGAAACAGCTCAACGAGTAGACGGCAGGAAAAAAACAACAACACAAAGCCTCACCATGAGAGTTGTGTGGTTGAGGTTCCAGGTGTAGGTGGTCAGGCTCTTGTTCACTGGGTCCACGATGGAGTCCTCGATGATGTACACAGAGCGAGACATGCCGGAGGGGAAGAGCCGCTCCGCCCAGCGAGGCAATCGATTGGTCTTCATTAGAAGCCGCCTGGAGAGGAGCCGGTGGTCTGCTGTTACCTCCCGGTACACGACGTCCTCCGTGAGAACATGGGTGCTGGGCGACACAAAAACACACAGCCACATCACCTACAGGGTTACTGTGAGGCTTCTCATCTGTTTCTAGTGTACGTTCAAAGAGTGCACCATCATAATATACACCAAAAGAAAGAAGAAAAATACATGCAAGTAAAAAAACAAGAAGTACATAAACCACCTGCCCACCTCGATCAGCAAAACTTAGTTTTGCTTCTCTGATACACTGTCTCAGTTCTCAATCTCACTCAAGACTGACAAGTGTAGTTTTGCTTCTAAGCCTCCAAAAGTGAAACAATATACAGGTATCACCTGCACGACTGCCTAGTTTTGAAGAATGATTAAACAATACACTAAAACATTGCACTACATAATTATTTAAATTTTCCAAACCACAGTTCAGCAAAGTTAATGTAATTCCTACTTTCCAACTAGTGAGGAGATCAGGGGAAATAGAAAGCATTTAAAAGATATCACACAGCATTCAAATGTTCACCAAAAGTAAAAGCCAGCAATGGTAATCCCAAAGTCAAAAAGGACTCGTTTTTTTTGGCACCTTAATTTTTAGTAGCAATTTTTATGGCTCTCCACGTGACGGCTGAAGGAGGACTGACATCTGAAGGCATGCTGCTAGCGACCCTAACAACTACTAGAGGTATCTTTCCTTGTGTTTTCTAATGAGCACCTTTGATAAAATACTGATTATGAGAATTCTGGAGTACCTGAATGGGTTTGGGTACCTCTGCCAGAAAGCAGAGACAACATGGTCCCATGTACTCCTGATGTCGGTGCTGCTACAGAAATACTTGACCATTTTTTTTTTGATGATGTGCAGGACGGTGTGAATCCCAAACCCTGAGGTCCCTCGCTGTGATTATACAAATCAGTGAAACGTTTGGTGGTGACTCCATCCACAGTCTGTGGTGATCCTGCAAAAGTGAAGGGAACAGTGAGGAAAAGGGTTACGCAAATAAAAACGCTGAATAAAGAGTATTTTACTGCTGGGTGGGATGGACATGGTCAGCACCAATAGTCAGATAGGCTGTGGCATGTAAATGATGGTCAGTTGGTAATAAGGGGCCCAAAGTGTGCCAAGAAAGTATCTCAAACACCATTACAACTTCAACAGTCTGCACCATTAATAAAAAGCAGGATGGATCCACGCTTTCATGTCATTTACACAAAAACTCTGATCCTGTCATCTTAATGTCTCAGAAATAGAGACTAATCAGACCAGGCAGCATTTTTACAAGCTTCTATTGTCCAATTTCAGGAAGCATGTGTGTATTGTGGCCTCATTTTCCTGTTCTCAGCTGATAGGAGTAACAGCTATTCTGCTGTTTCAGAGCTTGATGTAGTGTTGGCTCTTTCGCATATCATGATTGTAACCAGTGTTCATTTGAGCTGCTATTGCCTTTCCATCAGTTGAAGGTTGTCTGACAATCATTCAGACCTGCAACCAGCTCATCGGATATTTTCTCTCTCTCTTTTTTGGGCTTATTCTCTATAAACCCTAGAGATGGCTGTGCAGGAAAATCCCAGTAGATCAGCAGTTTCTGGATGCTTAGAGCAGTCCGCCTGGTACCAAGAACAACGCCACATTGAAATCACCTTAAACTCCAGCAGGTCATCTGGAGCATACCTGCCGGCCTAAATGCACCGAGCTGCTGCGATGTGATTAGTCGATTAGCTAAAACAATGTGAACAGGTGTATCTAATAAAGTGGCCGGTGACTTTAAGTTTTTCGATTTTGTTGTATAGACTTCAATGGGTCCCCCAAATATCATTTTTTTTTCCAATTACAGCACCAATAAAACATTTTTGAAACCACCATTTGTTATCTTTTATTGACTTTTCACATTTTCATAGCTCAACATGACGTAGGTCCTTACGTAATATACGCACGTCACCTTGACATATGGTTGGCTGGTTATCGTTACCGTTGGTTTGCTGGACAGCTAAGAGCTACCTAGTTAGCTTCCAGAAACCACTTAATTAGCCACATAATTCAAGTGATTTACCTCTAAATGTTATACTGAGCTTAAGTAAAAGGCCGGTTATTTCACAGCTTAATGTTAACTGAGTTCAGAGTTTGACAGGAGGTTTACAGCAATAATACCGCACTTCAAGTTTCGGTAGCCTCCCGTTCCGTTAAATGGCCACTAACTGAAATGTGAAACATTCCGGAAATAGTATAAGCAAGCTTACCTGTAGTTGCTGCTACTTTAATGCTAGGCTAATAAATATTAGTTGTTTGTTGAGCCTAAAGCCAACAAACTAACTGATGTTAGCTAGTTATATTCATAATGTCATATGAACCCGGTCAGCCAGCTCCGAGTCGTAGGTCGGACCGTTTTACTGTAAAGCCACTTCCGGTTGTCGTTTTAAAGTAAAAGCTCTCACAAACATTTCTCTTTTCACGCATTGGAGACTGTTGTGTGATACAAAGACCTGATTGCTATAGTCCCGAATTTTGAACCTTTAATATATATATATATATATTTAACGAGGAACCTACAGTTTTCAGAAAAGTACTAATGAAATACTTGTATTTATATTCCCATCGTGCCTATTCTTGCCTGCTGGTGTTCTAATTTAAACAGTCAGCTAAAATAAACATTAGCTGCATCCATTACAATGTAGTAAAGACACTTATTTAATTCTAGAAAAACAGTGAGAAGATGAAGCCAGTGAACAGTTTTTACAGTTGTTCACTAAACGTCACTATGAGACCACCCTGCAGTAGGATATGTATGGTTGCACATTATATCATTTCACACTCCTTGAATTTGTCCCAGACCAACGAACTGCCAAAGCTTCTGCTTTCATGGAGATGTTACACTTGCTGATGATCAGTGAATGCATTGCATCAGGAGCACCTGGCTGCTACTTTACTCTCTTAATTCCTATGGAAGCAGTAAGAGTGCACTTAGGGTTTTTTTTTTTAATTTACAGGGCTGCAGAGAGTCCTGTGACAACTTTCTTTTTCACATGGCTGTGGTGTTGTTGAGCTCTCTCTGCTCAAACTTACATCCCAGTTTGCAAACCAGACTTTTAGAAATCATTGTTTTTTTTTAATGCTCACATGAACTGTGGAGTAGCCTAATCAAGGCGAGACACTGTCCCTTTAAAAGGCCGCTGAGGCTCCATGTCAGTCTTGTGTTTTATTTTGCCATCTAGTGGGCAGGATGAACCACAGACATGACAGTACCAGACATTTAAATTATTGATGAAAATCTCATTAGTTCAGGTTTTCATTCTATTCTGGTCACTTTGAGGCTTTTGTCACCCACAAAACCAATTTCTGGATCAAACTATTCACAGATATTTGCAGGGAGGAATTTAATGTGACAGAAGAGCTGGTGCAGGGATTACAGTCTCTGCATCAGTGTCAGGAAAACAAAGGAGATGATCATGGAGATAAGAAAGATCCTCAAAGGGCTCCTGGCAGCAGCCTCCCAACAACTACAGACATGTACATAAGCAGATGCTGAAAAGAGCCACCTGAAGCAAACGGTGTGTGTGCTGGGTGCACACACACCGTTTGTCTCCCTCCCTTTGGGAAAGTGGCTGCAGAGCAGAACCACCAGACTGAGAGACTTCTTCCTGGAGGCTGTGACTCTGCTGGCCCAACCCAAAGGTAACAAACATGAGAAAACACCTGTGTCTTTGTAGTATCCACTACACACATTTAAAAAATGTTTTTATTTATACTGTGAATTTATCATCTATTCCTGATTTCGGTATATATTGCTATTGTGTGAGCCCGCTTTTGTTCCACTTAGAGCTGAGTGCAACATTTTGTTTCACTACTGTCATTGGTCCTCCAGTAACCAGTTCATGCAGCAGGTGGCGCGCTATAATACACTACAGAACGATATGTGTCCCATTTCCGGCTCTTCTTCTTCGCCGGTGCACTTTCCTGCAGAGGGAAGTGTCCTCCATGGTGTCATTGTAGGTCTTTCGAGGTTGAATATTAGTAAATAAGAGATGTCTGGGTACACACCAGACCAAAAGCTCCGTTTCGAGCAGATAACGAAGCTCCGGAGGCAGTGGCTGAAGGACCAGGAGCTCAGTCCGAGGGAGCCCGTGGTACAAGCTAAACCGCCTGGCCCTGTCGCCAAATTCTGGGCTGGTTTTCTGGAGCCCAAGAGCCTGTGGAGGGTTTACGTGAGTTCTCGTACGCAGCTGATCCGACGACCGCTAATAATGACATTTACAGCTGGAATCAAACCGAGCGGTTTATCTGCTACTAGTAGCGTTTCATTAAGGACAAGGGCCAGGGTAGCTGTTTACTGCTAACGTGGTTGACCGCGTTTACTTTGCAGGTTTCATGCCACACACACACACACAGACCGCATCTACTACAGCTTATATTGTGATGTTGTTCAATGTCAGTGACACAATCTAAGGTTTTCCTTGGATTATCTTTAGTTAGATACAAGAACTAAGCTGCCTCAACTAAGCAGAAAATACTCTAAAATGTATTTTTGGAGTGGATTCTTTGTTTCCTTGCCACAGAATAGCAACAACAAACAAACAAACATAAAAAATAACTGCTCAAATTGTAATTTTTAAGCATGGTGTCAGTAAAATCTGTTGCTTCAACAATACCTAGTTTAGTTTAAAATATGCACTATAGTTTAATGCTGGGGAAAAAATTAAGGTTTGATTGACTCACCAATAAGTTTACAAACAACGTTTTAAAAGTGACAAATCCATACCTATGGTATTAAAAATGTTGTGTATTATGCATTGTTATGACCCTGACGAAGGCCATAAGACGTAGCGGAATAAAGCAGAATAAATCTGTGCATCCCTAGCTTTTAGAAAATGTTGATACAAGGGTAGTCACTGCAGAGAACTTTACACAGGAAAGAAAAGAAATGAAAGTCAAGCAAGACAGAATAAATGTGTGTGTGAATGAGAGGAAAGCAGGTGTGATGGTGAACATGCTAGAAGTAAAGATGGTGAAGGTGAATGGGCAAGATAAGATCAGATTAAATTATAGAAACAACTCAGGTTAATCAGTTTGGAGAGGTTCAGATGGTTTGGGCGTGTGCAGAGTATGGCTTAGTGGATATACTGGAGATAGGATGTTGGGGGTGGAGCTGCGGTCTTCATAATCTGTAGAACACTTAAAATCTTTAGGCCCTTTATCTAAACCGTATATCACATATTCAGCGTCTTTAGCAAGAGAACAAACTCAGTCCCTGTAAACATTATGATTCCGTATGTTCTTCTCTTTACTGATATTTGTTTGTGTCCTTGCAGACCTACAAAGCGTACAGAGGTGGAGTTTTCACATTAACACGGCTGCTGATACCCGCTTGGATTGTTCACTACTACGTGAAATACCATGTTGCTGTAAGTTTCCACATTTGATCATTTTTATTTATATCTAAGCCTTTAAATACTGACAGGAGATGGATGATAGAGCCATAATACGAAGTTCAAGAGGAAGATAGCTATTTCATTTTTTTTTTAATTGTATTTAATTTGTTTGGTAGTATGCAACCAAGGTAAGTTGCACAAAAAGAAGAAAGAGTTTTAAGTTACAGACATGCAGTATTAACTTATTCTTGGCCAAACTAGAGAACCCTGCACCTTGGATTTCGTTTGTAGATGGAGATCATCTGACTGATTAGATCAGAATGGGTAGCATATTAAAATTCCGTGTCATTGTTCCCTACAGCAAAGGCCGTATGGCATTGTGGAGTTGAAACCCAAGCTGTTCCCAGTAAGTGTGACCCATTTATTATTTATTACTTCCAACAGTTAACATTTTTTGTTTCTCACATAATACCCCCTTTATTCTTCATATATTTGTATAAATGTAACTGAATGTTACCTTGTTTTACCATAACTAATACTTTTTTTGTTTTTGTGCTTAGGGTGACACGATCCTGGAGACGGGCGAAGTTGTTCCAGATCTCCCAGAGACCCATGGCCATCATTGAAGAGGAAATAGTTCAGCTTTTTCCTTGAGTTTCTCTTGTAAAAAATTCTGTATATGTGATTAAAATACTCAAAAGTTATGAGTGTGAGCTTGACTTAACAGAATAAATTAGTGATAGTGTTTTAGTAGAATTCCATCCATCCATTCGCTTCCGCTTATTATTTTCAGGGTTGCGGGGGGTGCTGGAGCCTATCCCAGCTGTTATAGGGCGAGAGGCGGGGTACACCCTGGAAAGGTCGCCAGTCTGTCGCAGGGCCAACGCACAGGGACAGACAACCATTCGCACTCACATTCACTCGCACATTCACACCTAGTGGCAATTTGGATTATCCAATCAACCTATCCCCACAAGTTGAATGTCTTTGGACGGTTTTGGTAGAATTGTTTTTTTTTTTTAATGTTTTAGTTAGAGATTTGTTCTCTTCTGTCAGGTGATGTGTAAGTTCATAAAAAAAAATTGGTAAGCTTTAGGGATGCTGTTGGCTGGGAAAGGGGAGCCTGTGGACTAATCTGTGTGATGTGTTCAAGCAGTACAACCTGGTATACTCCTTCAGCATTCAACAACAGACAGAAGCACCAAAAATGTAAAAAGTAATATATTTTATGGAGGATAAAATCTGTTCATAGTAACTCTAACTACATTAGATCTTCACAAATCATTACAGTTTGTATCCTGATGGTAGTGGTCTCTACGGGGTTGATTACATACCCACAAGGGCAAGAGCAGTGACTAAATGGCTTGGGTATGAAAACTACTTAAATCACATGCTGTGGGCTTAAAAGTCACTTGATCTTAACACTTAACAACAATCCCATTTACAGTGCCAGTTGTAAAGAATTTATTTGAAAGGAGGTTGTGCAGTCAGTCGATCAGAGTTGATTTTTGCAAAGATGGCCATGTGCAGATGAACACTTGAAAGATGCCTTTAAAAAACCTTGTGACCATGATAATGTGGAAAAGATGTCACCTGGGATTTTCAAATTTATACCAAAAACGTATTTACTAAAAACCTCAACCTCAACTTAAAGATCACATGTGAAGTTTTCTGAAAATCGTGTGAATGCAATAACTCAAGAAGAATAAGATACCTAGGATTTCTAAATTCACGCCATACGTGCATCTACTCCATAAGTGCATCTACTGCACTTATGCCATGAGTTTTAAAGAAAGTCATCCTTCTCCAAAATGTTTTGGCATAGCTTTGCTGACAGGCAAAGGGCACTAAGAGTATAATTGTAAATATGACGATAGCGCTTGATATTATTGTGAAGGGCGCTAATTTCCCCATCCCCCCCCCCGCGAAACCTGAAAATTGAACTTTTATTGTGAAGGAAGTTAGCGGAAGTTGCTCATTGAATTCACGGTCTGTTATGGAAGAAAGAGGGGTTCATAGTTCTGTCAACAGCCACT